TATAAACACTGAACATTTTTTTATTGGCTTGGGTTCATATAGATAGCATAGAAATGTCACCATTTTCCAATCCTCCACATCTTCAATCTTCAGGAAAATCTTTCGTTATTGCATATGGATAAAAGCAACTGTGGATGGTTTGCTTCTTAAATGAACCCTGCCTTTAAGCACCATTTCAATTACGTAAGAGCACCCCACATGAAACAAAGCTGTTTAACTCCTCAGAGCTGTTAGATTCCAATATTACCATTCACTCTTAAGGAACAAGTTTATTACCTTAAATATTGCATCTAAGATACTTCCTGACCTATATGACAATCTATTGAAGCTGTAGTAAGTTTGCAGCATGAAAAACCCGGTGATTTGAATAACAATTGCTGTTGTGAGCTAAACATATAACCTGAGGGATATTCTCTTTCTTCTCCTGCTGGCCACAAAACCTCAAGCATAATTTATATGGATTGTCAGTATGAGGGATTTTTAAAGAATTTACAACCTGATTGCGAAATGATAAGGTGCCAAAATCTTTTTCCACTCTGAATTTTGTCTTCTGGCAGAAGGCAAGAAGATAATATTGAATTGCAACCATTTCGGTCTTGGTTTTGCACACTTCACACTCAGGGGAGCTCAGCAGACTGGGGATAGCTACCAAAAGTTTACGTCTGTTCCACTGACTTGTGTGAATTTAAAAATGCATTGCCTTGTAATATGAGCAAAAATTCTTTTGTAACATAAATAACTATATCCTGAAGGAAACTCAGTAAATGAAGATTAAGCAGCAAGAAAGTATTGAAATTAACAATATTCATGATTTTTTTTTTTCTTCAATTAACTTGATGGGTCATTGCTATTTTTTTCTTGATTTTCAATTTTCATTTTCTCTTGAAAGAAAGTAGTTTGAGAAGGATGTGTTTATTTTAGGTTACTACTGACAGAAGTTTAATGTTCTCCTTATGAATCTAAACAGGAAGGTTGTGCACTTTGAGACCATCAGACCAATTATGATCTGACAACCAGAGCATATGAAATTTCTATTTTGCACAGTTTTAAAAAGCACCACAAAAATGCTGTGTGCTTGCATTCTATGAGATCATTTCACTCTAGAAGAGGAAAGCAACAGTTTTGTCTTCAAAACTTGCTAATAATGGGTAAATTTCAACAGTAATTCGGGCCTTTAAAACTATTTTATCAGGGAGCATTAGAATTTAGTACCTGAGTATTAAGGCTTCCCACCCCTGCTTTTTAAGAACTAATAGCTCTAAAAATTACTCTGACATCTGAATACCTCTGTTTTGCCCCATATTTATAAAACTTGGTATGATAGGTAATCAACAGCCAATACAACTGTGATGGTGTTCTGTATTTTTCTCACTTAAAAACTAGAAATTGAGGAATTATGCAGTGGACCTCATTTCTCAAAGAAAACAAACAGACCAAGTAATGTGTCTTTAAAGTAATGGACAAAAATTTTAAAGGAAACAAAATAAATTTGTATGTGTTTTTAAAATAGTAAAACCTTTTGGATTCCTATGAAATCAAATCAACATATTGGCCTTCTCAACCACAAGAGGGCATCCATGCTTGCAACCTGATCCTCAATATATAAACATATATCTACCTACCCATCTATCTATCTATAGACATAGGTATGGATATAGATACAGATATATTTCTTCCTGTTAGACCCCAGCTATGGTATAAAGCAATTTTGCTCTTGGCGATTTCCTCTTTCAGAGCCTCATGATATTCCCCAGTGTTGATAGGAGATGGCACATGAAGTCTAATTTTGCTGTCCATAAAAGCTCTCATGGAATCCAACTTTCTCACTCCTGCAAATGTTATGTCAAATGTCCCATGGTTTTCACTGAAGCCTGATCCAACTCATCTCGAATTCAGAGGGGAACAAACCAATCTCTGAGAAGGGGAACACACAGCTTCCCAAGGATGAGTGTGCAAGGTCAAGCCCAGATTTTCTGAAGTCATTTATTACCCCAGAGAGAGGATTCTGGATCACTAAAACCTGCTTAGCATCAGTCTGAAGTCATGACTGTCAGAGTTCTTACTCTCCCCATAATTTGTTCCACAGACATTTCATTGTTGTGATGAGAGGAGGGTGCTGTTTGTTTTGGTTTTGAACAGGAATACATTTTCCTCTCTGATGCACATAAAACTCTCATTAGAGCCTGTAACAACCATAAAAAGGAACTCTGAAAGCAAATCTGGCCTAGTGGTAAATTATATGCCTAGTTGAAAAAGATCTCACAAACACTGGAGTGTATATGGTAATATTGGAAGTAAACCTCATCTTCCATAAAAAAATAATGTGTATCTTCAGCACCAGAACATAGAGGTTAGCACCAAAAGGTATCAATTGCTACCCATCATTTTAGATGTTTAAATGAGGCAATCACAAGCAGATTATAAACAGCTGCACTCAATAATTAATTATATCAATTACTTCATTTTTACTGTTATGCCTCTCACAGTATTTTGACCAAAAATAGTTTTAGCCTTATTTTAGTTTATGTATACTTTCACAATTTTATATTTAGAACAGAAGTCTGAGCTAATTTCTGTCTTTAAAGGCACACCACTCTGCTTGGAAGGAATTAGTACGAATTTCAAGGCCATCAGAATAGCAACTGGTGGTAGTTTGCCTCAGCATAGCCTTGAACTCATCAAGAATTTTTCTGTGTGTGGGTCAGAGCAGATATATTGTCAAAGACATCTGAAGTCTTCCACACAGCTCTTGGTGTCAGGTAATCAATCACTCAGGCAGCACTGACACTGGCAAAGTAGAGCTCTACTGGCACTGTCATTACCTGGCCCAAGGGAAAAAAAGATCATAGAAAGTGGTGCTATTCAAATAGGTAATACAGAAAGGCCTTCAGTAAACTAATTAAATAAAATGGAAAGGCAAATTTCATGTGGTAATCAAATATCTGATGAGCTGTAATCCTCTCTTCAGTGAAAAATATTCAGCGAATGCTTGAGTGCTTGTGGCTGGTTTTACCAGGAGCTGCTCATATGAAATAGCTTATACCCAGCTCATTTTATGTGGCTGTCAATTACAGTGTGATTACAATAGTTAATCCCTAGCACCATTATGGGTTGTGAAAAAACCTGCACACCTGTTTGCTAAAAGCAAAGTTTTCTATATCCACAGAAAACAAAATAGTCCGCAAAATCAAGGTATTTGTAGCAACTTAAAAAGTTACAGATACGATAACATATATACCCGTTACAATAATTTCAGCTGAATTACAGAATTATAAATTAATTTACAATGCCTAGTCCTGTTTGGAAAGTGTACCATACAACATACAAGTTGCAAGTTCCAAAGTGCATAGTCATTTATTGTTAGACCTACTGTTGTAGGTTCCACGGCTTGACCTGAACTTTTGCTTATGTTCTGCTTCCTGTCTTGCATTTAAAAAAAAAAAAAAAAAAGACTGAAAATGGCTAGATGCACTGTTTTAACTGTGCTGTCTTTATCTCTAGAGAAGATTTCTTATGCAGAACAAAAATGTATTTGTCTCGTTCATCTTTATCAAAAACTGTGCTGGCTGAGGGCTAGTAACCCACCTAGTAGTTCTGTCTCACTGAATTCCTTCAGTGTGTACATAGATGATGCAAAGAGGTTGTGTTTCATTCTCAAAACAGGACTGGATTCTACTCAGCCAAAGTGTTCGACCAATTGAGCACTGTCTAAGTCCAAGCCCCTTTGAAACCAAAAGGGAAATCATTCAGGTAACTGTCAGGATAAAAGTGAGTAGAATATTACAAGTGTTCTTTTAAATCATGGACATATTTTAAGAGAAAATACTTGTCTAGTTAGTGTTCTGTCAGATAGATACAGAAGTGTAACTAACCAGAAATGTCTTAAGAGCCACAGATCACTTGCTGACATTCTTTGAGGGATCAGACTATGGCCAGATGGAGAGACCTGCTACGTTTCATGTGCTGTAGAGACCGTTCCCCCCACCACAGCTATCTTGCTGGAAGAAAAAAAATAACTACCATTACGTATTCAAACTCTGATCTTTCTTTTTATATCACCAATATGATACTTCGTATTCTGGTGACAGACTGTCTCAAAACACCCTCAGAAGGACTGAATTAGTGACTTAAAGACACATACATATCCTATGTTGTTCTGCTTGCTCTACTCAGTATTGCTTTTCAAAGTTCATAAATTTCAGAGGTCTAAATGTAGCAGTGCAAGCAGACTAAACACATATATTTAAAGTGGAGTACATTCTGCCCTGTAATATAAAGCCAAAACTCGAGACTATTTCAATGACACAGTAGTTGTGGCAGACATTCGATTTCCTTTTTGTAATGTGTTTTTCAAGAAAACTACCTGCATAATATTCTAACTTAAAGTGTAAGTCCTCTTTATAAATGTCCTAGTAAGTGCCCATAAGGTGTTCAGTTTCTGGCAGGAAAGATATGAATAAATAGATTTGGGTTTTAGTAATTCATACAGATATTTTCAGGAAACAGCACAATATATTTTAAAGAACACTGCCAATTGATTTAGAAATGTGGAATTTTTCTAACAAATCTGTAGGAAGTTTTAAAGTTGCCTGATGTCTTTTATTTGGAAATCCTCTTATCTACTTTTAGGTCTGATCTCTCCTTGATAGTTTCACCTGGCTGAGTTTCAGTCAGGAGTATAGCACATATACTGGCAAACATATAACGTAGAAGACAGTATGGATGTCATGTACTGATGTACGTTGCTTTGTAGCAATATATTTCTTAGCCTTCCTGTACAATAATAAATATACTGCTGCAAAGCACCATTATACCAGGTGCTTTATTTATACCTGGTGCATATCAGAAAGAAAATCTTTACTGTGAGGGTGGTGAGGCACTGGAACAGGTTGCCCAGAGAAGCTGTGGATGCCCCTCCCTGGCAGTGTTCCAGGCCAGGTTGGACGGGGCTTTGAGCAACCTGGGCTAATGGAAGGTGTCCCTGCCCATGGCACGGGGGTTGGAACTAGATGATCTTTAAGGTCCCTTCCAACCCAAAACATTCTATAATTACATGCCATTATGACTGTGTTTAGAAACACAGGAAGGTAGAGTTAGGCTGTGCTATTATACCAGTACATCGAAAGTGATGTAGCTTTCTATCTAGTTAAGACTTTAGTTATGTGAGTTAACAGCCACTGCATCTTGTCTAGTGTGGTTCCTCATTCTAATTTTCCTGTCTGCACACAGGCATCATTGATGATAGCAGCAGCCGTGTGCTGAACTCTTGAAACAACATAAATGATTTGATGTTGTGCATGAGGTAGGTAATATCCTGCAGTTTCTCTTGCACATATGTTTTCCTCTACTCAGAGTCTCATTCACTTTGCAGGTGAAAGCACAGGTGTAAATGGAAGGAACCACTGGGAGTGTGAGGACAATTTGTTGCTTTGCACGTCACACTTCATATTCAAAGCACAGTATTAAACAATGACCCTTCTCTTTCTGGACCTATGATTTTTAAAAGGAAGTCATATTCTATCTTTTAATGTGCTTTTAATAGAACCTAATCTCATGAAGCTACACTTGCTAAGGTGAAAATTTGTTAGCTCTCCTTTAACAAAAAGTTAATCTAAATGGGTTAATGAGTCTTAAATCCCAAAGAATTAAAACCAAATTACACTACAGTTTGAAAGCTAATTATACAGAAGCATACAAAAACATCAGAGTATTATTACAATATCTCTCTATATATAATATGTGCAAAATTCAATATACAAGCTTCTTGTTACTCATCCACATTTTTTTTCAAAATAATGTAAACCTTAACTTATTTGAACCAGTATAAGTAGTTTGATGTTACTCCTGGGAAACAAAGATTGTCGGTACAAGAACCTCCGTAGCTTGGAGGACAAGCTGAACAGGGTACTCCTACTTTATATGGTGCTTCTCCAATCCAGTTCCCCCTGAAAATGAAAAAGGAAAAAGAATGCTTAGTAATTTCAGAGAGGAAGAAAAGAGATTCATTACCCATAATTGTTTTGAGTGACTGAAATTAATGTTTTCAGTGATATCCTATAAATGCCTTGTTACTGAAAATATACATTCATATATTTCTATATTACTGACAAACCGATTCCCAAAAACTATCAGGAGAATGACCATGTCACCCTAGACCAGTGATCCATTCCATGTTCTTTAGTGTCTGTAGTGAAGTCTCAGTCTTCTTGCTTTTGCTACAAGTGATTTTTGATTCTTTGAGCCTGGGACAAAGTATTTTTTACTGGAGGGCTATATTTATGAGAAATTAGCAACATAAACATTGGTCCAAGTTTTTTCTTGACCACATTTTGTCTGGCAGTTACCTTAAAAGCTCATCTTTGGAAGGTGGGAAAACAAACTGAGCTAAATCTTATTCTTACGTGGCACTACCCTAAATCCACATTGTGAAGCTCTGAGGCTGAATTCATGGTTATAGAAAAGGGAAGATGAAAACAATTTGCACCAGTAATGTATTAACAAGAACTGTAATTTGGGCATTTGTAGGGGTCTCATAGATGTTAATGGGAGGAGAAGGTGCGCCCACGTCTGGTGAGTAGAGCTGTGTAATAGAGCCCAGGGGGAAAGGGGTACAAGTCTGAAGAGTGATCATGTGAAAAGAGGTAACTGAAAGACAAACATCTGAAAAACTCATCCAGACTTTTAGGTGCTTCTATAAACCCCAGGCTTTTAGAGATTCCTTTAACACTTGTGATGTAGGCAGAAAGAAAGTTAAAATTAGATTTTTATTTAAATGTTATGTCTCACTGAGCAGAGAACTTTAGTTTGCATGTGACGTGGTATAGCAGTGAGTAATGCAATTATTTAAGAAACATTTTCTCATCCACTACCTCCCAGCCAGTAACATTGGATCAAAAGCCTTGGTCTGGGTTGTGCTTTGGAAGAAAGTAGGAATCTCTCAAATAATTGCTCATTCCTGCTTCTCTTCCAAATGGGTACAGCAGACTGAGTGCTCAGAAAATAAATTTAGTTTGATAACAGATATGGAAATCAAGAGTTTGCTGAAAGCCGATTTCTGCTTAATTTTCTAGGCAATGCATGGCTGATTTCTGCGAGTCCATTAGATAATCAGGGGCAGGGCCTTTCTAAACTTTGCAATTATCCTCCTTAACTTTTTTTTTTTTTTCCTGATTTCAGAAGCATAGATATTTATCAGCATTACAGCATGGCATCAGTGAAAATTACTGGAGTTCTAAATCCTAAATCTTTGCCAAATTCCAATTTTAATAACTCAAATCGGGGCTGTAATACTCACCCCCTTCTTTAGAGGAGTTTCTGATGTGCTGGTTACTTAGAAAGACACAGCCTTTATTGACCAGCAAAGAGACTTCTGCATGTGTTTCAAGGACTCTAAGCCAAACGTCCTTAACTCAACTTAATGAATTCTTAGGAACATAAACATAATCCAAGCATGACCACTCAATATCCTCTTTGTGACTGCAAGAAGTAGATGTGAAAATCCCAATTCCACTACCCATGAATCAAAGGTCTACTTAAAATCTCACCCAGAGAATATACTTGTAACTCCAGGCTTTGATGTGCTGTTTGAAAAACTGGAGGGTTTAGACTGAGAAAATATAAAATATCATTAATTCATTGTTAACTGATACACAGACAATGCATCAGTTTTCAATAATGCCTAATGTATAAAACCGTTCTTTTCCTATATATGAACATGAAAGATGTATTCTAGGAAGTTTGAAAATTTTAATATTTTTTTTCCAAATGGAGATACATAAAAAATAATATTTGGTTTTCTCTTATAAACTTTTATTTCACTTTGTGCATGTTGTGGAGCTAAAAGTCAGACACAGTTTTTGCTGCCTGATCTTTGCTCTCTTACATTCATTACTTACCACCCTTTTCTAGTAGATATTAAAGTTAAAGGACAGAAATATCCTTGATTTCCAGAAGCATTTTTCTCCCAAGTCAGTTTTCTTACTAAATCCTATTCTCTTTTAAGTTGCAAAATCCTTAAAAATTCTTTTACTCATGTAACAGCTAGAATAATGACATATTCTTGCATTTACTTTACCACAAATGGACCTGTGCCACCCAGAGTTTATGGAAAACATGCTCAATTGATTATACTTAGATTCCTATACAGAACTATGGCTTTGCCTAATATACAGTCAGAGAAACCAGCCATCTACATTGTCCATGCTGCTTTTGAAGCACTTGTCCAAACCAGACCTCAAATCGAAGCTCTCCCAGAGCCACACTTTATTGATTCATTCTGCACCCAGACGTAAGTTTGGGATGATGTCTAGGAAATGCCGGGACAAAATTCATTTCTTCATTTCAACCTAACACAGATCTCTGCACAGCTACCTGATACAGGGCCACCTATGGGTGTATATGACCCTATACTTTGAAGGACCTTAATTTGGAAGACAAGATGAGATTTGTAGATACTGAGCCTAGCTAGACAGACTTTGTAGGAAACCTATGCTATCGATACCTTTATGTAGCATGGTCATTAAATACAGGTATCTTGTGGGCAACAACATGTGTTCACAGTAAATCAACAGCCTGATCTGCTGTAGGATTGCTTACCTGAGGAAGTCTAGCTCACCATGAGTATATAACATAACAGAATGAAGAAATAAGGAACCAAAAGCAGAGTCAGCACAAAGGAGGAAAATAAAAACAAAATTAAAATAATAATAATAACAGAAAACAATTTTTGGTTTTGTTCCATACACATCGGGTTATTTCTTTTTCTTCCTTGTACATCAAAGTCATGCATTTTCTGTACGTTCAGACATAAAGTTAGAATGAAGGAGCAGCCCGCAGAAAAAGCACAAATAGAGGTCAAGCTAGAGAAAAAGGAGTAGCAGTCCTATGAGATGACCAAAACATGCATGAAGTATAAAAATAGACATATTAAAAGAAAGCAACTCACTTTGGGGCATAGTTGCATACCAAGTAAACAGCTCGTCGCCAAACAGATCCCCAGACGTTCATATTGTGGCATGTGTGGATTGCGCAGCCTATACGATTGGAAGTGGCCCAAACCATCTGAATAAATATTTATTATTGGTGAAGTCCAAATTGAAAAGAAATATATAGATATACATTTATTTGAGAGAGAGAGCTATAAATACATCACAGAAAAGTCCAGCTTTGGACGGTAGATTTTGAATAGAAGAATGTAATTTATATAACCTGTGTGTAATGGGTGCACATGGGTCCATAACATCGCATGGGGCACCTGGGGTTGCAATCCTGAGGATAAGGGAAAGCATAATCCTTCACTTCATCATACCATGGCTTTACCAGCTGGAGAATAGATCGATACCTGGGTTTATTTAAAATACAGAAACACATGTCATTTTAGATTTAGGTATTTTGGAACTTTTTGCTGCTAATTCCCCTGATGCATGTCACCTAAATACACATTTCTCCACGCACCAGTAGGGGCACAGCATTAAGCAATAATACTCTTAAGTCAAATGAAGATAGATGTATATCATTTATTGCTAGAATATCAGGTGACATTTGCATCAGTCTAAGATCTAGATCTCAAAGGCTGTTCAAAGGCTGACAAAATAACTATATTGTTTGGTATCTGCCTACCTTCCAGTTCTTACAGACAGGTTCTGGCCCAGGAATCTCAGTAAGTAGGAAGGTCCATGGTCCCAGATACATGTAGCAGCCCAAGCCTCTGCAGATTTAGCAAGAGTTTCATCCCAAACCTGACAAAATAAAATCTCCTTAGCAGCAGAACAGAAAAAAAACAAATAGCAATCAAAGTGCAAGAACACAAAAAGCAAGTATCTTACAAATATACTATCGTAACACATCAGATTTATAACTAGGCAGAGAGCTATTGAATTCAGAAAACTGTGGGGCAGGATGTACACAATCTAGCAGGATTGCCTTATTGCTGGACAGAATTCCTGCCCACATCGTCAGAGAAAGCCAAATATTCAGATGTCTCTCTTATTTTCTGGAAAATCCCTTCACTGAACAGGCATTCTACCATTTTCCCTTCTGTGTTGATGAGATCAATGTGTGGAGAGGAGTGAAACATTGGTTGGGACTCAGAAGGTTAAAGTGAAGGAGAGGTAGATGAGGAAGAACAATTCAGCACAGGTATTACATACTCCACAAAACTCCAACACATTTGAAATAGGATCTCAAGAGTATCTATAGACAGAGAGTGTGTGTGTGTGTGTGTGTGTCAGCTTTTCATATTTGAGGCAACAAGGCCAAGAAATGGGATTCCACAAAAGCAAAGACTATGGACAGTTTCCAGGTGCAGTATGAGTTTCACCACTTTATTCTGCATGGGAGCTGACATTGCTCCCTGCCTGTAATAAAAAGATAACAGCTCTGTAAGAAGAGACGATTTGACTTCGTATGCTCTCCAATGATAGGAACATGACAAGTGATCTTAAAACAGTCTCCTTTATATGCTTTGCCTGATCATTTACATGCTTGATTTGTAACTCTGCTGTTTTCTTCACAGCAGATAGGCTTGCCTCAGCAATAACAGAGATACCAGCAATAGAACCTACTGCACCACTGGAGCTCCAGATAAAGCATATCTCACTGGGACATTACAAGTACACACAAATTCTAGTATATCTTAGTGTTTAAGTGATACTCAAGTAGGCTGTAGATCCTGGAATGAGATGTACACTTTGACTACCCCAAGTTGAGTGTTTTGGTGCAGGACAGTTTTAGTGAATTGCAGGTAGAAAGGCAGGGACAGAAGGTGGTAAAATTGCGTACCCAACCCATCACAGATTGTTAAACACAAACTTACAAATCTTCAGTGGCTACGAAACAAAGAGTATGCTTTATGAGGTATGAAATAAGAGGCAAAGTCAGAAATAAACTTATCAAAGGATAAGGTGGCACACATGACAAATGATCTTTGTACTATGAGCTAATAATGATTCCTAACACTGAATTCATCGTTTAAATTTTGCATACCTGCAGAGTGAAAAGACTGATCATGGGCTAGGGCAGTAATTCATGCCCTGACTCTGTCTGGTAGTTTGTTACATTTCTCTAAGTGAAAAGGACAAAATTTAATAAATTTTATGAAACTGCTATACCAGTGAACCAAGCTTTGCTAATAGGGAGTGGGTGAGGTGCCTCCTACATTAAAGCTGAAGAAGTACAAAAGAGATCAATATGGAACCCTAATGCAAATTATCTTCCATTCAAGTGGAACCACTTCAGGGAACATAAGATGGATAGTCTTAAAGCAGAGCAGAGCAGAATTAATTCACATCTGTTTGTAAAAGGTCCCAAAACAAAGTGAAAGCAAATTGCCAGTAAAAGGGCAAAACAGAGAAGTGTTAGGAAGAAGCATTCTAAGAAGGAATAGTCTTCAGGCCAGGGAACACTTGAGTTCAGCTCTGAAAAATGAAGAGAGTTTCTCAGAGGAGTTACAAGTCTGTAACTTGGGAAGAGAAGGCTAAGCTGGAGCACTAGGATACAAGAGAGGAGACCCCAGACTGCTATGGCACCATTCGAAACCCAGGAGATGCTCCAAGGCCCAAGGAGAAGAAAACTGTGCACAGGCATTTCTTCTGCTTTGCATCTCTGCCATTAAGGCAACTAGCTCCAAAAAACCCTTTATAATTTCTGTGGTATATAAACCATCCCCTTCAAGAGGGGGCAACAGTAAGTACTAAAGAGGGGGCAACAGTAGGTACAAGCATAAAACTGTGCCTGGGGACTGTGCCTGAGAGGCCAGGGCCACAGTCAGCGTTTGGAGCCTGCCCAGGCCCAGGGGAACAGAGGAGCACATGGATCCAGCGTGTGGGTCCAAACACAGCTGCCTGGTGTGCATCCACATGGGGCAGCTCCGCCAGAACTGCGACACCCCATAAACACCCTCCTTTGCTGGGATTAATCATGCTTCTGGCACGAATGATCCCTGCCAGGAGGCTGAACATGAGGTTTGCGTGCTTGCTCCCAAGTGACCTGGCGGCAGTCCCACAATAATCTAAATGTGTACTGTATTTGCACAAATAGCACCAAGCTCCTGATTTCCACCCAGCATATTTTCATGTACTAAATTGCCTCGCAAAATAGCACGTTAGGTGTTTGAAAGAAATTTGAAGACTGGATTAGGTTTTCACTATTAATGCCCTCTCTAAACTAGGCATGGCACCCGCCTTGGGCAGCAAGAGCACTGCTACTCTACTTTCATTTCTCCTTAGCTTCATTTTCTGGTTCTCAGGAATCATCTGCAGCATTTGATGGTAAAGTTTCAGGAGCTTGTTTCAAACACAGTTAAAAAGCTGTGGGTTTGGCATGTAAGCATTACTGTGATATATAGTGTGCTCTGCTTTCCATTATCTATTCACTCTTGACCACTTTCTGGACATATGGAATTTCTGGCAAACAAAAGAGAGAGAAAGAGAAAGAAAATAACCACTGAATAAGAAAGAAGGGGGAGGGGAGCATATGCAGCACCTTTTAATTTCCTCCATTCCTTCATTAGCAGGCTGGTGAAAAGTCTCTGTACAGAGTTCCCTCCCGCTACGTAAATCATTTGTATTTCATGGGAGAAGGTGAAGTGCTTCACCTTTATTTTATTTTCTTAGAAGAAAAGGTGGTCTCAGTCTCTCTAGGACTAGCTCTAGATCATCTCCACCAGAAAGACAATTAATATGGGCTGAAGCTGAAAAATTATTATCTCATAATGATCTAAAATCTTCTAATCTCTAAGATCCTGTACCATGAGTTCACCCCTTTCAAAACAAGTCTGATCCTGAGTCCACACTTATATTAATCTGTATCTCAATTCTGTCCCCTGTTTTGTGCAGGTAAGAAAACAGGGCAAAGACATTTAGATTTTTGAACCAATGAGGCTTCATTGCTGCACATAGATAAACAACATATAAAGAAATAAAGAAATAAAAAGACAAACTGAAGTAATCTGAAAGCCAGAGAGATAGTTTATGTATGAGGATAAATTTAAAAGTTCAAGGTAATTAGCAAAGAGTTTAAAAAACAGTATGATAAACAAAATTATAAACTCTGAAATGATGGCCGATCCAGTGTTCCTACTAAATATGTTAGAGAAAGACGTCTTACATAAACACAAAACTGCAAAAGCGAAAAGGAAGAAAGATTTGCATACTCGGTGCTCAAGATCTGAGGAGGTGACTCATCCTCAAATGCTAATCATGAAAACTCAGTGCCAAGCTATGCTCATTCTCTCCCTCGGGATAGCAAATCTTCATTTGCTAGGTCGTTAGTAGTTGTGGAAGCAGTCATTTTCCTTCCACCCAGTATAAAGATCACCCTCCCAGACTCACCAGATCACTGATTTATTTGGTCCAGCATGGAAACCTTCCCCACTCCTCAACTGGGTCTAACTGAGCTGCGATAGAGTTAAAGCATCTCACCACACTTCCACTGGCAACTTGAAGTGAACATCCTTTGGCCAATTTATTTTTCTTTCTTCAGCCAAAGATTATTTTCCTAGAAAGCTGTCCGACTGTGCTCTCTGCACTGCTCCCTGCAAAACTACACTTCAAAACTAGACTTCACTTGAAAATTGTCAAGAGGACTGAATACAGGGAACAGGCCAGTGCTTCTACATGAGGAGTTTTAACATCAGAGACCACTTTATGAGGCAGGTCTGGGGTGTTCTCTTCACTCTCTGCAGAGCACATGCTGGTTGAGAGTTAGGACTAAAATCTTAGCATTAATAAAGTCAGCAGGAATTTTGCCAGTGAGGCCAGAAGTTCACCAAAGATGGGAGGTTTTTTTGTTTCATTCTGTAAACAAAGAGTAAAATAAACTCATTTATTCCCAAAATGTATAATAAGCAATGGAGCACAAAACAAAATCTCTTTAATTCTGAATGAAATTTCTTGATGCCCAAAAAGCAAGCTTCCTTCCCCAAAGGAAGCCTTTTAATGTTGTGGGTCACAGTTCCCTCATACCCTCCCTTTCTATAGCTGTTTCTACAGCTGTCTCTTAGATAATTTACATGTAGAAGGGATGGAGTTGCTCTTTTTTGCTTTGTTGGAACAGCTTTGTTGGAACACGAGGTCTTGATCACAACCATTCTCTTATGGTGAAGCTGAATAAACATGATGAAGAAGAAGAGAAGCAACTGCAATATTACAAAAATCTGTCCACAACATTTGTTGAAAAATAATTGGTTGTTCCCTTCCTACCTTGATAATTTGATGAATGGTGTACATAACCATTTTTAACCATAATTTGAATTTAGAAAGACTGTTCTTCTGCTCATTCTCATTACAGTCAGAACTGTACTCCTATTATCAATCACTCAAACAGAGTAGCTTTCTTTTGACAGACTTCTGAGGGGGAAAACCCGGTTGCAGAACAGGAGGTAAAGCTGAAAGCAACAATGTACTTCAGACAGCAACCTCACTACTTTATCTGTAAGTAGAAAACATTGAACAAGTTTACCAAAGCAAATTAAATGAATCACTCTTAATCCGAATCACTTGCCTGACTGCAAGCTTTCTAAAGGACTGTTGTATTACTGCAAACACACTACTACTCTGGATATATTTACCCTGTGGTAATTTTAGTTGAAAAGTAAAAAGTTTCGTATTCCTAGTTTTAAATGCATTACTGCAACATCTATTAGCACAGCCTGAATACGCAGACTTCGCTGAGAGCATCTGTGAGTGATGGATATATGTAATAATGGTTAAATTACACTGACTAAAACAGAGCAGGGATT